CCTAACTGCCATGCTTGTCCACCAAGGAACTCACCGACAAGTGATGACCATTTGATGATGGAGGCAGTGGCCAGATATGACTGTCGACGATGGGAAATAGGGTTTGGAATTAGAAATTTTAAGGTTTTGAAGTTTTTTTTAATAATTTTAAAAAAATTATGTTTTTTTTAAACATAATAATATTTTATGTTTTAATTTAACATTATTTTTTTAAATATAGACATGACATGTGTCAAATAACACATTTTTTAAAGGTCGTTACGGCGTAGATACTTAAAAGAGTAACTTTGGAATCGTTAAACACATTTTTTTAACAAAACCTTCTTTAGACACTTAAAATTAACTTACAATATAACACTTTTATATTCCGAAATGTTTGGATATGGTAAAATATCTAAATCGATTTTTGATTGAAGAAGTGTCTATCAAGCAAAGCCAAACAAAATAATACAAAATAAGCATTACCAAATTAATTTGGAATAAATAAAACTAGTAGGTTTTTAAAAAAAAAATACTTTCTAAATAATTTTTTTATTAATTACATAAGACATCTCCAATCTCAGTCTATCTTTTAAACTAATCTTTAAATTTTAAAATATTAAAAACGATTTATTAAAAGTATTAGCATTGTATCGAATAGATCATTCTCTCATCCTAGACATCAACTTAGCTGCTATATTAACTCAAATTTGACGTAGGCTATGTTTAAAATATGTGAATAAACATTTAAACACATCCATGCATGCTACATTGATATTTTGGATTTAACGTATTAAGAAACTAAATATCCTATTTTAATTTTAATGACAATTTTTTATGCATATCAAATCTAAATTGTCCATAGTGGTTTACACATATTTTAAATTTAATTCACGTATTTTGAATATACTCTACGATTGTCATTTGAAATAGAACTCGTTTGATACGATACGCAAGCTTTAAGGATTCAATTAAATTATTTTAAAAGTTAGGGACTAATTTACAATCTGGATTATAACTAAGGATGCATGGTGGCTTTAAACCTTTTTTCTCAAAACGTTGAGAAGAAAGACAGAATGGGGTTATCAATGGCCAACTTGGTGATGCCTTTAACATGTTTACGGGGGACATTTTCTTTATATTGCACGCATTATTTTGAAAATCGGATCGGATCGGTCGGTTCAATTGAAAATCGTTGTCTAATCCGGTTCAATCTAAATCGATTGAACCGCTATTAGTGAACCGGTCAGAACCATTGAACCGTTCGAACTGGACCGGCTGAAAACCGGAAAAAATCGGAAAAAACCGAAAATTTTGTTTTTTTTAAAAAAAATTAAACCAAACGTCGTTTGTTAAACGAGCCAAGTCGAACTCGAGTATTGCTGAGCTCGACTCGAACTTGAAAACTTTAAAAGTAAGCTCAACTCCACTCAAACTCACAAGTTAAAAATTATCAAGTTTAACTCGAACTCGAAATATAATATTGAAACTTGAACACAAAAAGACTTGAACTAAAAAAAAATTAGAAGCTCAATTGAAGCCTAAAATTCGAGCTTGATTGAAGTGAAAGAATAGTTCACTCAATGCTCACCAAAAAGGCTCTATGATTTTGAATGCCAAATTACCTCTATTATTTATAGAAGTTAGTTGTGATGCTCTTCTATGTTTCTTAGCAATTTGTGATTGTTTTGTTCTCATATTTTTACTCTTTAGACTTTTGGGATGCTCTTCTATGTTTCTTAGCCATGTGGGATTGTTTTTTTTAAAAAAAAAATTAAACCAAACAATATCATTTTGTTATCTTTTTTTAACCCCAAATTTATTTTTTAATTATAGTTATATAATTATATTTATTATTTAATATGTTTTAACTTAAATATTATGTTGTAGTTAATTTAAATCATTTTGTTTCACTTGATTTTATGGTTTTTAATTTATATATGTTATGACTTGCTTTGAATATAACTTGTGATATAAAAAATTATTTTTTATTAAATATTTTTGATATTTTTATTTAATTTTTTAAATAATTATTTCGTCGTCCGATTCTTCCGACCGATCGGACCGATTTAACCGATTAAACTAATGAACCGATAATATAATCGGTTCGCTAACTGATCCGATTCTGAAAACTATGATTGCACGGACACCCAAAAACACTTGGACAAATTGTAACGCATTATAATCAATGCCATTTGGAGACTTCTCATCCCTTCGAGTAAATTCTATGCCATAAACATATGAGCTTCATATATATATATATATATATATATAATAAAAATATTTAGTATTTCATATTAAAGTATTGGACATTTTTAATAATATAAAGTGATTAGAAAGTTGTATCTGTTCATTACCTCTACAAATCATTAAAAAATACAGAGTATGGACACAACAATTCAAACCTAGAACTTCAAAAACAAACATATCCTTTAATCACTTATCCACTTAATTAAATTTTCCAACTAAAATAATAATTTATTAATTGATTTTTACTTATGTTACTTCACTTTTAGAACATAGGATGCTTCTGGTCACACTCTAGTCAGTCCCTTTCTCTTGAGCATTTGAGGTTTCAATTTTTTCAACAAAAGTATAAGTATTTTTTTTCTACAATGTTTATTGGTCACAATTTAGATACTTTCTATACTATATTATTATGCAACTTTTCTTCGAGTCAGTTTAAATTTTGTACTTTCCACGTATCATATAGTTTAAGTCAAAAACATATTATTAAAAATACATTTAAACATAATTATTTTCAAAAGAAATCGTAAACAATTTATGTATTATAACAAAAAAAGACATTAAAACAAAAATTAATGTAGACAATTTTTTTGCCTAATTACAGATTTAGCTAGATTATATATTTGAATCTCCACTAAAGTAACTATCATGGTTCTTGTCAATACTCTACAATCAAATAAATGGTAGTGGTCCATGCATGATAATATTTCAGATGAAGCCATTAATAATATTTAAATTATCTTCAACTGAATTTATGTAATAAAACATGTTTGTTTTTTCATTTAAATTTCACAAAAAAATTGATAAGACTGCAACGATTTTGGAATGGGTGAGATAACTATATATTTTTTAATTATTTAGGTTAACCCATTTTGAAAATTGAAGTTATTGATAAGGTTGGGAAAAAGATGGTGATTTTAATCGACCTTTCTTGTTGATATAGACAAGCAGCAGCCCTTGTAGGGGCAGACGTTGATGGAGAAGTGACCTATGACTATGAGTTCAAAAATAAACAAAAAAGTAAAAAATAGGATAAGCCTAAGATTATATAGAAAGATACGAGTTTGTAAAATTTGGAAGGAGACCAAATCATAAAATATAAAAATAAAAATTAATTATTAATAAAATATATGATAATTTAAAAATTTTAGAAAAATAATTATCTCTTGTTATTGGTGAATAATAATAAAAACTTTTTGTATTAGGTACATATAAATAAAATTTTAAAATAAACACTAATAAGATAAAAAAATAATTAAAATAAAAAAGAGTTAGATCTAATATAAATATGTGTCCACCTTGAAGCAACTTTACATCCGCCATTGTGTCCGGCCGTTCTATCAGTCCATCCCTAAATGAAGGCAAGGCTAAGTTGCCACTTAGCCATGTTGGGACAGCTTTCATGGGTCGTAGTTGTTTATGTTTGCCAATCAAATAAAAGAAAAGAAAAAATTAAGAATAAGATTTATCAACTCTAATATTAAAATGGTGGAGACTAAAGTTAATGTTGACGGCAAAGACAATCAAAATGCAGACACTTGTTTGAAACTTATTTCGTAGTATAAAACTTAATTTTTTGCATTTAAAATGAAACAGTCAATTTCCAAAATGATCCCAAAATTAATTTCACGTATTTTTTATATTTTTTTCTATGTACGGCGAATGTGAAGCTTTTGCCTTACCTTTCTAGATCTTCGAATTTATAAAACATATGTTCCAATTTTAGTATGTTTTAAATTTATTTAGTAGCATGCATTAAGTAATTTATATGGTAAAAGAATTATTATTATTTTTTGAAGATACAAATTTGAGCATAATAAATACTAAGAGTGTGAGTCTTTAATGTCGAAAAGAGTTTATCTTTGAACGTATATTATTTTATAATTATCTCAGATTAATAAAAAAATCAATTTTTATTATTATTTATAAATAATATAATTTGTATTACTAAATTTTATATTGACTACGTGGTGAATTTTAAATTATTTTAAATAAAATTCTCTCTGTTCTTTAAAAATAAATCTAGATCTAAGTTCAGAGACGCATATAAACTATATTGCTTTAGTCATTAAGGAGAAAACCATTTCTTTAACCACAACAATTACTCTAGGATTTTAATATAATTTTTAAAATATAGAACATTACACATATTTTTTTAGAATAAAATTCATATAAATATTTTCTAAAATATATTATTATTATTTTTATTTTAATATTTCAATACATCCTTTTAATATCGCGCAGAGAAATACACTAGATCATATATATTTTAATAAATGAACGATTAAATAATTAACCATTAGAATTATTTTGATTTTTAGTTTTTTATTGTGATATATGAGTAAAAAAATTGAAATGTTCTTGTCAAGTAAATTATTTTCTTCTAATATATGAGATGATTATATAGTAGTATATGCTTTAATATCTTTTTAATTTATTGACGACTGCACATATATTTTGTAGTCGTCGTTATTCGAATTCAAAACTCTAAAAAGATTAATGTTTTTATTTATTACCGAAGTCACTTGACGAGTTTAATAAATTATTCAAGTTTAATAAATTATTTTAAGAATAAGATGATATGTTTAGTTAATAAACAAAACAAAAGAATCCATCGCCAAATGATGGGATTTTCTGACCGTGTCATAGTTAATAAGTTTGGCACATTGGGTGAACAATTATGTGCTCACTTTGCATCAAAGCTCAAAGAGAATTATCCTAGGAGCTATGGTGCTGGACAAAACAAAAACAGAAAGTAAAATATTGTAAGAACTCCGACTTTATACGTATCCTTGCAGCCTTGCTTCTGCAACATATGCAGACTTCTATTAAGTTACAACATGCACCTGAAAGCTGGTAAAAAAGAGTCATAATTCAATAAAAAGAAAGAACTTTAGGCCACCTGTTTTTGTTATTTGATCATATTTACAATGTTCATTTGAGAAACCTCCCCTGTTATCATGAACAGTGACAGTGACCTTTAAATCAATGGAATTCCAGGATGGGATTTTTGGGTAAGCAACAATTTTGAGCCAAAACCTGCAAATATTCCATCTTTCCCTTGCTTGTGGGTTAAGTTACGAAGAAAAAAATGATATCGCTAGCAATATTCCCAAAGGCGAGGCTCCTCATATTCAAGCTCATTTTCGACAGCATCATCCTTAGCAGCGAGTTCCCATGACACTGAGCCCCATAACTCGTCAATTTGAAGATTCATGTCAAGCAAGAGATCCGGGAGGTCAATGAATGCTTCATCATTATTGATTGAAGATGTCACAATCGTTGCCTGAGACGGAGGAACCATCGGAGCTTCAACGTCATGGCTCTTGCTGTAGCTGAGGCAGGCAGCTTTAGCTGCAGCAGCTTGGATATCCTTGGGCGATGCACTAGCTGGACGGGGAAGCTGGTGGGCTATATCAGGGAAATTGAGATAAGCTGACTTGCCTTTAATCGCAAGAGCAGCTACATCGTGTGCTCGAGCTGCCATTTCGGCCGTAACAAATGTTCCTAGCCAAATTCTCGACTTCTTCCTCGGTTCACGAATCTCAGACACCCATTTGCCCCACTGACGCATCCTCACTCCCCTGTATGTAGGATGTTTCCCATCGTTTTCAACCTTTCTCTTGCTTTCATTAGCATTTTTCGCTCTCCGGGACTTAAATCCGGTCGATTCTGGAGGGGATGATGATGGTGATGAAGAAAAAGAAGATGAATAAGAAGACGCGGATGATTGAGTCTTAAAGTCTGCATCAAGTGGTACTTCCATAGTGGATAGTGTCATGGAGTTGGAAATGAAAATGTGAGGTGCATTGTTGGGAGAGGTGGAGCTAAGCTAGCTTCTTATTATAATTGCTTGACACGTTATAAAGTTAAAAAGAGTGTTGTCAATGCAATGGGGACTAAGGCATAGAAGATGGATGTACTGTTTGGTTACTTAGTCAGCCCCAATCATTACCGGAGCACTGCATAGTTAAGATTTCTCTAGCCCTATTGTTTTTCCCTTCGGCTTCTCTTCATGAAAGATTACAGCATTTTTTAGTTTCTCATTTGCTCATTTCAGTCTCAAGTATTGATAATTTATTATATTTTTTTAGAGCGTAATCTTAACATTAGAATTATGAATTTTTGTATGTTATACAAAATATTAATCCGAAAATAAAATAGTAAAATAATAATAAAAATAAACGAATAATTTGCCTAACTTCTTTGCTGAAATATCAAGTAGTCAGTGCTGAAATAGGGCTCTAAATGAGACAAGATAAATAGTGAACTACTTGAGTTTGACTCGGTCAATGTTTAGTCAACACTTGAATTGAATAAGCTCGAACTTTAGCAGAACTCGAATTCATAACGAGCCATGAGCAACTCGAAGAAATAATATATTAAAATTTTAATTTTTAAATTAACTTATTATAATATTAACATTTGTTGTTGTTTTAAAAATACAATATAAGGTTTTTATGTATTTAAAGTTCATGTTCGAAGACTCGAGTTCGAGCTTGAATCAATTGAATTAAGTTTGAGAATGTTTAGAGTTTAAGTTCTTTTAGTTGGAGTTTAGTTTCAAATTTGATTAAGCTTGAAAATTTAAAGTTTTCAAGTCAAAGTCGAACTTCAAATTTTTATTTTAAATATGAATCGAGTTTGATAATTTTAAGCTCGTCGGTTTTTTAGTCGAGTTGAGCCTAACTTTAAAATTTTTAAGTCAAGTCAAAATGAGCAATACTTATACATGACTCGGCTCGTTTACTGTCGTAATTGTGTGGAACTTTTTACATCCAAAGCAATACATTCTGTTTTTGTTTGCTGTCAAGAAGCTTCTATTTTGATGCCTTAATTGTTGGTAAATTACAAGCATATTATTACTGTCATCTTCGCTTTTCTACTTCTCAAGCATTCAGTGGCAGCTTGAGATGCAACTGCATCTGCATATTCAATATAGTTGTCAAATTTGATCCTCTTCAGCCTTTGAATGTGTTCGTAGCTAGGGATGAGCGGGTAGGGATGGGATCAAGAGGAATAGATGGGGACAATATCCCTAAAAATTTTAAATTTTTATATATTTTTTACTTAAAAAATTTATTTTTTTTTATATATTTTGAATATTTTCTTTATATTTTTTATTAAAAATATATTTTTACCCTTTAAAATTTTATAAGTTGATCATCTATTAAAATTTTATGAATTTGCATTCCAACTTACGTATCTGTTAGTAGCACTTGTGTTCATGGAATTTAATAGTTTTTTTTGTAAGGTTGGGGGTCATAATCATCATTAGCCATTGAACTCCCATTTGAGAATTTTCGAGAATCATGATTGACATGTTTGGTAAAGAGTGACCTCATTATTAAAAAGTTAAATAGACTTTCGGTGGCTTTCGGTGGCTTTCAGTGGTGTATTAAATGCATCGAAATTTTGGAAAAAGGAATAGCAGGTTTTGTTAATATTTGATAAAGGGATAATTACTAAATTGGTTCTTATACTTTAGGGTATTTATAAGATTAGTCTTAAGCTTCAACTAGAAATACTTTAACTCATTTAGTTTCAAAATCATCCCAAATCATTTTAGCTTTCTCTCAATACTAGAGAATTTAGAGAGTTTTCTTGAGAGTTGTTTTCTCCTTTTTATCAAGAGAGAATTGTTATTATTTTTTCCTTGTTAGATCGAGAGAAGTTGTAAGTCTTATTCTCATAGTGAAATTTTTCTACCATTGTCCGTGGTTTTTACCTTATATTATTTAGGGGTTTTTAACGTAAAATTTGTGTTTTCTTTATATTCATTTTTATTTTTTCAAATTATTAGTTACGATTTTACTCTATCTGATAGTCGTATTCCGCAACAATTGGTATCAGAGCCAGATATTAGTGTAATATCTATTTATTGTCTTTGTGATTGCCACCAAAAGGTATCCTCCTACATAAGAAAGTAAGAAGGTATTACTCATTCTTTGAAGATTCTAGAGAACTATTCACGATAGTGAAATAGTAGGAGTTATTCGTAATAGAAGCTATGACAACGAAATTTGATATTGAAAAGTTCAATGAGAGAAATTTCTCATTGTGAAAATTGAAGATGAAGGTCATCTTAAGGAAAGACGATTGTCTAGCAGCTATTAGTGAAAGGCCGGTAGATTTCACATATGACAACAAATAGATCGAAATGAACGAGAATGCTATGGCAAACGAAATAGACGAGAATGTTATGGCAAACTTTCATCTAGCATTAGCAGATGAAATATTATCAAGCATCGAGGAGAAGAAGACAACTAGAATGATATGGGATCAAAAAAATCCAGGAAATGTAAATTCTTGGGGTAAGCTGATGGTGTAAAGGGGTATCACTTGTGGGATTCCACTGCCCGCAAAGTGATCAGCAACAGAGATGTTATCTTTGTAGAAGATAAACTACAAAGAAAAGAAAACGATGATAGCGTTGAAAAGTTAGAGACTACACAGATACATGTGAAAAAGGAGTTTGAACAAGGAGATTCTTCTGAAGCAGAACCAACACATGATGAACAAGAACCAGAGAGTTTTGAAGCTCCAACAACTCGTCAATCAGATCGTGTGAGAAGACGTCCCATTTGGCACTCAGATTATGTTATAGAAAGAAATATTTCATATTGTCTTTTAACAAAGGACAGTGAGCCATCAACATTCTATGAGGCAATAAACAGCTCAGATGCTTCACTATGGACGATGACGATGCAAGAAGAAATCGAAGCCCTTCATAAAAATAATACATAGGACCTTGTGCTACTACCACAAAGAAAGAAGCAAATTGGTAACAAATGGGTCTTCAAAATCAAGCGAAATAGTGATGATCAAGTTGAAAGGTATCGTGCAAGACTGGTGGTCAAAGGATATGCTAAAAAAGAAGGTATTAATTTCAATGAAATCTTTTCTCCTGTGGTTCGACTAACAACAGTTCGAGTAGTCTTGGCAATATGTGCTACATTAAACTTACATCTAGAATAGCTAGATGTTAAAACAACTTTTCTTCATGAAAATCTTGAAGAAGAGATTTATATGCTCCAGCCTGAAGGTTTTGAAGAAGAAGAAGAAAAGAAGATCTTGGTTTGCAGGTTGAATAAAACTCTGTACGGTCTAAAACATGCACCGATGTGTTGGTATAAGAGATTTGATTCCTTCATTATGTGTCTTGTGTACAATAGACTTAATACAGACCCTGGTGCTTATTTTAAGAAGTTTGGTTATAACGATTTTGTTATATTGCTGTTGTATGTGGATGACATGTTGGTTGCAGGATTCAACAAAGATCATATTGAAGAATTGAAGGCACAACTGGCTTGGGAATTTGAAATGAAGGACTTGGGATCAGCAAACAAGCTTTTAGGGATGCAAATTCACCGAGACAGAAGTAATAAGAAGATTTGGCTTTCACAAAAGAATTACTTAAAGAAGATCTTGTCACGATTCAACATGCAAGATTGTAAGCCAATTTCTACCCCTCTTCCTATTAACTTCAAATTATCCTCCAGTATGAGTCCTAGCAGTGAAGAAGAGATGATGGAGATGTCTCGAGTGTCGTATGTATCAGAAGTGGAAACTTTAATGTTCGCTATGATATGCACAAGACCAGACATTGCACAAGCAGTGGGAGTGGTTAGTCGGTACATGGCGAATCCAGGCAAAGAGCATTGGAATACAGTAAAGAGGATCCTGAGATACATCAAAGGGACTTCAAATGTTGCATTATGTTACGGAGGATCAAACTTACTTATCAATGGGTATGTCGATTCTGACTATGCAGGGGATTTGGATAAAAACAAATCTACTACAGGATATGTGTTCAAAGTTGCTGGTAGAGCTGTAAGTTGGGTTTCAAAATTGCAGTCAGTTGTGGCTACATCCACAACAGAGGTAGAATATGTAGCAGCTACACAAGCCAATATAGAAGCAATTTGGTTGAAGATGTTATTGGAGGAGCTTGGGCACAATCAAGAGTATGTCTCTCTGTTTTGTGACAGTCAAAGCGCCTTACATCTAGCAAGGAATTCATCATTTCATTCAAGGACAAAGCACATACGAGTTCAGTACCATTTCATTCGTGAAAAGGTGAAAGAAGGGACGGTAGATATACAGAAGATCCATACCAAATACAACATAGCAGATTTCATGACGAAGGCGATCAATGTTGATAAATTTACTTGGTGTCGATCTTCTTGTGGCCTGTCAGAAACGTAAGCAACATGAAGGTACAAGGTAGAAAAAATGGTGTGAAGATATGATTGTTCCAATCAACTCTTCAAGTGGGAGATAAATTGTTGTGGAATACGACTATCGGATAGAGCAAAACTCGTTATGTTCTATGGACAAATTTAGGGTAAATTACACGTTTAATATTTAAATTATCAGTTTTGATCTATTTTAATATTTAAAAGTTTTAAAGTTTTTTTAAAATCATATCCAAAGTTTAATTTTTGTTTCATTTTAGTATCTGTTCAAAATTTAATGTTAAGTTTTGAAAAAAAAAAGAGAATAAGTTTAGGTACTAAAACAGATCAAAACTAATAGTTTAGGTATTAAATGTGTTAAGTTTTTAATGTTGTGTACTAATATGAAACAAAAATTAAAAGTTTAGGTACTAAAATGTTTTAAAATTAATAATTTACATATTAAATGTGTAATTTATCAATGGATTTATTGTTGCAACAGCAAATGCAATTTCATCTTTTCACGTTTTGCTTCCTTAAGGTTCACTTCAAAGGCTCTAACAGAACTTGCCACCTTATCTAACTGCATCTTACTATTGTCTTTGGTCTTATCCAAACAATTTCAGAAAACAATGCTCACAAATACAAGAATCTTCATTCAAACACATTTATAAA